TACATACATACATACATACATACATACATACATACATACATACATACATACATACATACATACATACATACATACATACATACATACATACATACATACATTTTGCACCCCCACAAAGCTTCATTGCAACTTTTTCTTCAAAACTGGTCCAAAATGAGCAGTAACACCCTCCAGAGGTTTAATTGGCCATTTCAGGACAAAGCAACTTTTCTTTACTCACAGGAGTTAGTGAGGGGCTTGATGGGCTGCACGTGGTGCATCCCTGGCCTAGACAAACTTCTTTGAGTGTGATGGCTAAATAGGAATTTGAACCAAAACACCTCTAGTCTTAATCCAACAAACATTACGGTGAACATGCATCAGACATGTGCTACTGCAAACAACAGTGACTTTTGGTACAAATTTCCTTTGAAATATGAGGATTAGAAAAACCAACCTGTGATAATTAGACATTCATTGTGATCCAGGACTTCAGTAATGAGACGAGATACAATCAGCTCCGGATTGATTAAGAAGCGAATTTCTTCTTGTACCAGTCCTGCACCAGTGACACCACCTCCAACGAAGCGATTAGCAAAATCAACCTGACAGAAACATATTTTTGTGTGTGTGGTTACTGGGCATTCACTTTCTCACCCCAACCTCCCCTTCACTTTCAGGAAAGTAAACATCTGTTGCACATACTCATTTATGAAGATCAGCTGTAATTGTTTTGGTTTTGACCACAAACCATTAAGCAATGTTAACATGCAAGCTGTGCTGTTTATACTATATCGAAATCCTGTTATCAATTTTTTTATTTTGTAATATTGAGTTCAAAATTATAGAGTTACATATTTTAAGTACTGCAAACTTTAATAACTGGAGTGTGGAGGAAGATTATGTTGAATCTGGCCAATATACACAGGACTGGTCTTAAACCCACATTACTAGTTTCCTGTTTCAAAGGGCCAAACTTCATTTTGGGAGTGAGCAAAATTAGACAGACTCATTTGATTCACTGAATGTCTTTCAAAAAGGCACCCCCCCCACAACTCTCAATGCCCTACTCCATTTCATCTGCTAGGTTAATGGCTGCCCAATCATTCTCCTCCACTCCCTCCAGAATCTGTAAATACTTTTACAGACAAATTCTTTACACTGTTCTGTAAAACCTTTGGATGATTTACCTAATCATTAGTAAATTATCCAATGATTTACCTATAGTTATTGTAACTATTTCAGCAAGCTTCCTTTTCCTTAGCTATTTCTGTGTGGACTGTAAATCCTCTGACATAGGCTTGTTGTTAACCACTACATCCATAGACTTCTGTTGAGTATCCATGTCACAGCAAAGCCAATGAAAAGTCTTGTGACTAAATTAAAATTTAACGTGTTTTGGTTGCTGTAAGCCTTTCAGGACCATGTAAGTCACACATACATCTAATGAACTGCACCACAGTCCATGAAAACATATGCCAAATCAGTAGCTTGTTGTCATATAGTGGGATGTGGCTGCAAAAAAAGGCTGGTGCTATTTTAGGCTGCATTAACAGAGGCATAGTCCCCAAATCCCATGAAGTACTAGCTTCCACCTATTCAGTACTGATTAATTCTCATCTTCAATGTCGTGTCTAGTTCTGGACAATGGACTTTAAGAAGGATGCAAACCTAATGGAACAAGCTCACAGGAGGGCAACAAGTATCATCAGGGGACTGCAAACCAAGCCCTATAAGGAAAGATTGAAGGAAATGGGCATGTTTAGCCTTGAAAAAAGAAGACTGAGGGGAGATATCATAGCATTTTTCAAATACTTGAATGATAGTCATAGGACAGGATCTGTTCTCGACCATCCCAGAGTGCAGGACACATAATAATAGGCTCAAGTTACAGGAAGCCAAATTTAGGCTGGATATCAGGAAAAACCTCTTAACTGTTAGAGCAGTATGACAACGAAACCAATTATCTCAGGAGGTGGTGAGTGCTCCAACGTTGAAGGCATTCAAGAGAAAACTGGACAGCCACCTGTTAGATTTACTTTGTTTTGGATTTCTGCACTGAGTAGCTGGTTGGACTCAATAGCCTTCTAGACCCCTTCCAAATCAGCTATTCCAAAATAATTAGATATTTCATCAACAAGAAATTGAGTAGACCACCTCTCAGAAGTAAAAGATTAACATTCTCTCCATGTCTGTTAATCTGATTTGGTACAGACAACAGGAAATTCCTCTTAACCTGAATTTTCTGCCTGGAGAACTGCCAAAGGATAGCTGCATTTTAGTTTCCATGTTAGTTTGGGAACTCAAATTTGGTAGGTTCATGTTAAAATCTGAAATGAGCATATTTCTCCCCCGTCACTATCTTTGGTACTCTGTATATCTAGCCATTAGTAGCCAACTCTAGCGAACTCAGCAAGTTAATAAAACTCTATTTGCACTCTTTAATCTATAGAGATTGCTACAAAGATATGACTGGAGGCACCCAGAAAAGAACTAGTGTTTACCCTCAGCGCAACAAATATTAGGCAATGACAACCTGTTTAGTCTTTGCTTTTTGAACCAAACAGTATGTAGATAAGCATATAAACAATGCCTTGTTACCTGTTTCCAGTAATGCTGTGACTATTTTATTAGTCTCTAGAATATCAGACTCATTAAAAGAGCACATTAGATTGCCTGTAGATAAAGGCCAACATCCATGGCTTTTCTAAGGGTGCCCTCACCAAATAAAGTACAATGCGTGATGACCTAATGGAGTGTCTTTTTCATCATGGCTCCCTGCCTTAAAAACGCTCTCGCAAAGGAAGTTGGCCTCAAGTGGACATGCCATCTTTTCTGGCACCAGTCAAAGACCCCTTTAATTTTCTGGACTTTCTTTTTTTCTTTTCCCCCAAGACAATATATTACCTTAGAATCAGACATAATTTTAGCTTCTTTCTATTGTGCTTTATTTTTGTTGCATTTCATTTCTATATTTTATTACGCTATTTTAATTTGGAATAAACTATCCTGAAAAAATGTATTAAAGGATGGGATATACATCTATTAATTTATTAACAAGCATAAAAATGCTGGGAGGCATTCATGGTTGAAGTAAAATATGTGCAAAACTCAAGAGAAAGCTCTTTTTAATATTTAATCTGAGTTAGCCCAAGTATAGGGATTTGTTCTGTTTATGCAAGACCAGAAAGCAGGTGAAATGGGACTGACAATCACATCTCTTGGGTGACTGTTCTGGGTGCATGGAATGCAAATTTATACAGTACAACAAATGCATTATAAACATTCTCCCTCCCTCCAGGACTGCAGTTTTGACTGGTTTGTGAAGGAAAAAAATATTGCTTTGTAGTTTTAAAATGCATCTTGGTTTTAATGCATGTTTCAAGAGAAAATATTCGTAACACTGGAAAACAGCTTTATGCTTCCAGAAAAGCAAGACAAAAGATTTGCCAGAATGGATCAGGTTCCTGGCTCCTTATCTGTATTTAGTTATAGTTAACCCAACTCTAGGAGAGTCTTATTACAACAAAGGGAAGCCACCTATGAATACAGCAATGGTCTGTTGCATGCCCATATGCTTCAATGAGAGCTTCTGCAAAAGAGTGTTTATTCCAGAAGGGTGTGCCCAGACAACCAGATTAATTTAAGTCTATTCATCACACCACGAGCTTGCATTCTGGGCTTTCAGACCATTAAAGACAACAGGTATTATACAAAATTTTGTTTTGTTAATTTATAATACTTTAGATTACATTTCCAAATCTAACTCCATCTTAGTGGGTTTTGGGGGAGGGTTGAATGGTGTGAATACAGAACAGACAAATTCTTTATCCATCTGTTTTAGATGAGTGACTCTTAGATCAAAACAATTCCACTAGCAGAGACAAAGCTTCCTGAACTGCTGAACTGGTCACCAGCTGGGGCACAGGCCACATCATTTCTGAAAGGGAAAACACAAGTAGAAAACTGGCAGCCTGTCATCTTTGTTCCCTGAAAGCCCTGCTCCTGTCGTTCTTCAGTCTCTGTCTGACCTGAACAACCTGGAGTCATCCAGATCTTATGACTGTCAATCAAAAGGTTTTTCATCAGGGCACATATCTGGAAAACAAGGTGAGCTGGGGACAACAGATAATGTTAATCCTATCAGAACAGTCACTCTGCTTTGTCTCTTATATTTCAAGATGTTTTGCCACTTCTGCACAACCTAGAGCAAAAGCAAATTATTCTGCTGAAGTGTCCAACAGACCAAAGTTTAGTACAAGCATGTGTGTGATTGTACTCTTACCTGTAACATTCCATGGCCATTGCTCTCAATAGTACCTTCATATGTGATGTGCAACCTGGACATTTTTGTCTGACTCCTGTAATGAAACGCAAACACAGAGAAAAGAAAAAAATTAGTTATATTTGTAAAAGAGGAAGCTAATGTTTAAAAGTCAACTATAACATGCTTCACACTAATAAATAAAAATGCCAATCTGTCAATCAATCTACACAAAGTCATAGTAATTTGCAGCCCAGAGTCATGAGTTGTCACATCATAAAATAAGCAGAAAAGAATGGGCTGCACTGATGTCTGATTCACACCAGCACAATGAGTCTGAAGTTTGTACCCAAGTCAGTCTTAACAGTCTGGACCACACTGTCTCTCAGAGAAACACTGGATTTTCTTTTCTTTTGCCATTTATGTACTCAGATGAAGCTCTATGGATACCTACTGGCTGGACCATTCAAAACAGCCACTTCAAGGATGTCCTTGTTCAGAATTCTGAATGAGGTATGAACAACTGGTATTTCAAATACATAAAGTTTAAAATCTGGATATCTATTTTACTTCTGATGAGACAGGCCTTTACATTTAAAGCCTTTAGGGTTTTCCTCCTAACAAGGTCTGTTTTGGCTTATTTAAAATAACTAACTAAATGTCGCTCTAAAGTTAAAAAAAAAATTCTATTTTATTTTCTTACACTAATAGCATTAACCCTTTAACTGAGTACAAATCTTACATCCAGAAATACTTTCTTTCTAAATTTCTTACTCTGCACAAAATGATACATTCACATATTTTATAATTCTGTAGGTGAAATTTAAAGACAGATTTGAATTAAGCAGTGTTAACACCATCCAGATATTGACTTACTGCTCCTGAAAAATCCTTATCTGAAAATGGTCCAAATGGTAAAAGAAGGTAGCATTTTGTTTTCTGCTCAAGAAAACCATTTGGCCTACACTTGAAAATGATCTAAATGAAAACAGAAGGACTACAGTGGTGCCCCGCATAAAAACAATAATCCGTCCCATTGAAATCGTTATTTAGCGAAGTCATCGTCTTGCGAAAACTGTTTCCCCATTGGAATGCACTGAAACCCGTTCAATGCGTTCCAATGGGGAAAATCGTCATTGTTTTGTGAAGATCGCCAATAGGGCAGCCATTTTGCGAAGCGCTGATCAGCTGTTAAAATGGCTGTCCTGCGAAGCATCCATCCCGAAAACATAGGAAAGCCATTTTGCGAAGCCGCCGATCAGCTGTAAAAATCATTGTCTTGCAAAAAACGGTCCGCGAAGCATGCACCAAATCATTGTCCAGAGAAAATCACCCATTGGAATCACTATTTTGCGAATCACTATAGCGATCGCAAAACCTCATCGTCATGGGGATTCGTCGTTTTGCGAGGTCATAGTCTAGCGAGGTACCACTGTAAATGGTTTCCATAACTTTGCTTTTGTATGCAAACAGCATTAACTAAACCTTCTATTAGACACTTGTAGGAAATAAAAATATAAAAGGCATGGTTACTTCCTCACTGTAAAAGGAACTGACTGATTTGGCTGACTCAATTACGTGAAATGCAGTCAGAAATTAACTAGTGGGCACTAAGTTGCTTATTGCAGAGTTAAGCTATTAGATATTACACACAGGTAGAAATACCACATCATTAAGAAATAAGAACTGAGAAAAACCCAGTCCACTATTAGGATTTTCATGCATACATGATGTGTGTGTGTGTGTGTGTGTGTGTGTGTGTGTGTACAGTGAGACACAATGTGTGCACTGATTGATTATGTGCTTAGCAAAGTCCACACACTAATAGGCATACTAGATACCCGTGTGAATCAAACCTAAGTCTCTCATTAAATAGCCACATCTTCACTGAAAAACATGACAATGGAAACAAAACGGAGCAAAATGGAGCAATATGAGATTGTACATAAAGATGAACAATATTGTGCAACAATAGTTTCAAATTTCATTGAAAAAAACAAGTATGGGCTCAGGAAGAAAACCACTTAAACTTACAGTATGTCTGCTTTGTTGTAAAATAACAGGATATATTTCATTTTAACACAGGATATCTTTACATAATGAAATGTATATAACAACTAAAATTATATACCTTATTGGCCCAACCAGGATTTAGAACTGCTGTTCCAACAGACTGAAAATACTTTTCTGAAAACATGCATATGGAAAAACAACGAAGGTAAAACCAAGTTGCCATCAGCTTTTTCATTTTCTTTCAGGAAGCTTTCACTCTGAAAGCTTGCAAAAGCTCAGCAATGAAACTTGACTCCATATAATTAAAATAAGCTTTTTGTTTTTTAAAAAATCAATTTCAGAATAAATTTCAGACATCTAAATCACATTCAACTCTAATCAATTATAAGAACAAACCTCTCAATATGCTACATATTAGGTATTACTGTATTTATCCGTGTATAAAATGCCCCCCCACTTTCCTAATCCAAATTAAGAAAAATAAGTGGGGTTTAGTAAGTGTAGGAGGAAAGAGATCGAAGTGCTACAAGATCGCTTTGATGCCTGCTTTCCCATCTTCTCAGCCTACTTCCGTATATAAGATGACCCTCAATTTTTAATCAAAAGATTTTAGAGAAAAGTACAGTCTTATACACGGAAAAATACAGTACCTCTACTGTTGTGCTACAAGTAGAATGTTTTCTTAGGGAAAAAATAGCTCTCGTAAATTGAATGTGACATCATTTTTCCCAGATACCCATCTCTTCATAAGAGGCAGGACAAGATTACTCAAGCAACGAGCAACAAGGGAATTCACAGTCAATTCCCCTCCTGAGTAACTATTTTCACTTAAAAAATGGCCTCTGAAATGGCATCTCCTATATGCCCTTAAGGGTTGGTGATATATTTATCATGCACTAACTAGACCGCAATAGAGAAATAGCAGGACTGAGAAATTTATTTTATGCCATTTACAAATATGGCACATTTTTCCTCTGCTTGTTTGCTAACAAACATACATTTGTCATTTTAAGAAAGCAGGGGACAAGTAAATAAAAACATAATGCAGATATCAAAATAAGACTATTGTAACAGACAACCCCCCCCCCGCCTGGAGCTGGAACTGGCAAGTCACTCCAGTATCTTTGCCAAGAAAATCCCATGAACAGAAACAAAAGGCTAAATGATATGATGCTGGAAGATGGGACGCTCAGGTCAGAAGGTGTCCAACATGTTACTGAGGAAGACCGGAGGACAAGTACAAATAGCTCCAGAGCTAATGAAGTGGTTGGGCCAAAGCCAAAAGGACGCTCAGCTGCGGATGCGCCTGGAAGTGAAAGGAAAGTTTGATGCTGCAAAGAAAAAACTGCGTAGGAACCTGGAATGTAAGACCTATGAACTTTGGTAAACTGGATGTGCTCAAACAGGATGGCAAAAATAAACACTGACATCCTGGGTGTCAGTGAACTAAAATGGACGGGAATGGGCAAATTCAATTCAGATGATTATCATATCTACTATTATGAGCAAGAATCTTGTAGAAGAAATGGAGTAGCCCTCATAGTCAACAAAAGCCTTTGATTGTGTCAACCACAGCAAACTATGGCAAGTCCTTAAAGAAATGGGAGTGCCTGACCACCTTACCTATCTCCTGAGTAATGTATATGTGGGACAGGAAGCAACAGTTAGAACTGGATATGGAACAACTGATTGGTTCAAAATTGGGAAAGGAGTATGACAAGGCTGTATATTGTCTCCCTGCTTATTTAACTTATATGTAGAATACAGAATGCGAAAGGCCTGACTGGAGGAATCCCAAGCCGGAATTAAGACTGCCGGAAGAAATATCAACAACCTCAGATATGCAGATGATACCATTCAGATGGCAGAAAGTGAGGAGGAATTAAAGAACCTCTTAATGAGGGTGAAAGAGGAGAGTGCCAAAAACGGTCTGAAACTCAACATTAAAAAAACTAAGATCATTGCCACTGGTCCCATCACCTCCTGGCAAATAGAAGGGGAAGATATGGCAGATTTTACTTTCTTGGGCTCCATGATCACTGCAGAGGTTGACAGCAGCCACGAAATTAAAAGACACCTGCTTCTTTGGAGGAAAGCGATGACAAACCTAGGCAGCATCTTAAAAAGCAGAGACATCACCTTGACGAGGTCCACATAGTCAAAGCTAAGGTTTTTCCAGCAGCTATGTACGGAAGTGAAAAGTGGACCACGAAGAAGGTTGACTGCCGAAGAATTGATGCGTTTGAATTGTGATGCTCTTGAGAGCCCCCTGGACTGCAAAGAGAACAAACCTATCCATTCTAGAGGAAATCAACCCTGAGCGCTCACTGGAAGGATAGATTCTGAAGCTGAGGCTCCAATACTTTGGCCATCTCGTGAGAAGAGAAGACTCCCTGGAAAAGACCCTGATGTTGGGAAAGTGTGAAGGCAAGAGGAGAAGGGGACGACAGAGGATGAGATGGTTGGACAGTGTCACCAAAGCTACCAACATGAATTTGACCAAACTCCAGGAGGCAGTGAAAGACAGGAGGGCTTGGCATGCTCTGGTCTATAGAGTCATGAAGAGTTGGACACGACTTAACAACTAAACAACAACTAAACAAACACTGAGCTGCACTGTCTGTATACATGTGCACATCCAAGCATGTACACATGGGCTTAACCTTTAGTTCACAAAAGTTTTATGTAAGTGCAACTAATTAAAAACATGTAGCAAAAAAAAATACCACAGATTTTCAGAGTTATTCTAGGAAAAATATGGATGAGGCATATAGATCAGACTCAGGATGCAATCAATGTTCTAAAGCAGTGGTTCTTAACTTTTGTTACTCGGATGCTTTTGAACTGCAACTCCCAGAAACCCCAGTCAGGACAGCTGATGGTGAAGGCTTCTGGGAGTTGCAGTCCAAAACTCCTGAGTAACCCAAGGTTAAGAACCAGCGTTCTAAAGCAAAACCTGATAGAGCAACTTTAAATTTTCCCAAAGCCAGTTCTAACCAATGAAACTGCTATTAGTGATTCATTCCAGTTACAGTTTGCATGTTCATGTAGTCTTCACCATGTCCACACAATGTACACTTACATCATTGACTCCCAAATGGGGGGCTGGAAGGGAGAATTCCCACTGCTTTCCCTCTAACCGCAGCCCTTGTGGGCATGTGGGTAAAAACAGCCAACCAACAAAGCCAAGAAACATGACTGTCTGATTTGTTATGAGAGACAAGTTGTTAGGGCCGGCCATAGGAAACCTCGCTGAACGGTGAGTAAAGGAGCCTTTTGGAACGCATTAAACGATGTTTAATGTGTTCCAATGGCTTTCCCTGCCCCGTTCAGCGATGTTTTGCTATAGCGAAGGTTAATCCGGAACGGATTAACCTCGCTATGCAAGGCACCACTGTATTGTGCATACCCAGCTGTTTACAAAGGCTGGGCAAACAGAACAAGCAACACTTAAATCTGTATGAGCTGTACTGGTTGTCAGTGTACTTCCAATCTGAAGTGGCAGTCAATTATGATTACCTTTAAAGCCTCATATAGATGGGCACCAGGCTAATGAAGGGGTACCTATACCTATGATTCTATTTGTACTTGCTAAAATAAGGAGGCAACCGGGAGAAAACGCTGCTGCCTCCCCTCTCTACCTAGAAAACCCTCCTTATTTTATTTTTACCTAGTCTTTTAAACCGTTTAATCCTTTTTTGGAGAGGCTTCATGTCAAAAGGTGGTACAGATTTTATCAAGTAAATAAATCTGAACCCAAAGCTTTCAGGACCTAACCAAATATCTGGCATTTACCTTAATTAGCATAAACATCATGTTCATAATCTAAAAAATATAACTTCAATCATTATTCATGTTATTTATTAAATTATTTTTCCTGTATATTTCATATATTTCTTTTTTTAAAACAAACTATCATAAAATACTCCTTCCTAAGGAGATTAATATATAATACTTGGATTTCAGAGATTTGCTAAAATCAAGGCAAGAACAGAAACTGAACCCATACCGTCATTTGCACTTCAGTAAAATTGTCAAAATCAAAATGAAGACATTTCCAGAGAGACTTTTGTTTCTACCTACCTTTCCCAATCTGGAAATTCCTGTAGACACTGTCTTGTAAATGTAACCAGTCCAATAGGTTCTGCAAGAAAACAAATCCAAATAAGTATGTATCATTATTTATCAAAAATGTCATAAGCTTACAATACATGTATTTCTATTGTGCACTTATGGAGAAATGGGAACATTTCCAAAGTAATCATTCACTACCTGGTGGGGTTTGGAATCACTTCAAGTCTGAACCACTGGAGAGGCCAGAGACCAATTAAAATTATCCACCCCAGAAGGCTTATGGATCCAAATGTTTTCTTGATGGCTGCTGATGAGTTTCCAGTTACCCCAGCAGGTGACCCTGTTAAGGTCATGGTTGACCTGTGGAATGTGAAAATGACCAGAGCTGTGGACATGATTACTCCTAAGTGTCCCCTTTCACAGAGTAAAGCCAAATTAGCCTCCAGTTTACAAAAGAGCTGGAGGTGATAAAAGTAGTGGGACAGACTAGAACAACAATGGTGGAAAATCTGGGATAGATTCAACCAAGCATGGGCTGGAGCTAATTGGAAGACATTTGAATGTCTGCTTACAGCAAGTCAGGCTTCCAGAATGTTTAAAGGGAGTGACAATGAGACATGGTTAGAAAACCCATCCTTGATTCCTGCCATAATGGAAAGCTAGCACCCCAACACCCTGCTCGTATGCCTGGTGCCAGAATGTGTAGTGGTATCTCAGTCCCAAAAGTTCCTGGATGAGATGGATTATCTAGATCCATTTCAATATGGATTCAGAACTGGCTTTGGTTGCTCTTGTCAACAAACACATTTCCTGAAAGAGACTGGGAGTGAACTTCTTCACAAGGTACCTGTAAATTTTGGGGGTCTGGGATCTTGGCTGTTACAGCTGGGGAGAAGGTAATCCAGCAGCTTCTTTCCAATCCCAACCTCAAGGCTTATTTCACTCTGAATTTTTCATAAAGCTGCCACCAACCTTCTAATCAGAATGCATTTTGCACATGTCCTGAGGACAAAATCATCCTGGTACATGGGCCGAGAGCAGTGAGGCATCTGGAATCGGATTAAACCAAGGCAGCCCTGCAAAACTGAGACCTTTGAAATGTGGGTCAAGGGATCTTTACCAGAAAACTTTTCTCAAAAGGTGTGACTTTTTGATGACATCTCTGATGCTTTATTACATCTCTGGCATCCCCACATATCTTCACAACACCACCTATCGAGCCTATTGAACAGTGAGATTATGATTCCCTGGAATCACTATGGCATCTTCCTTTTTTAAAAAGACACACATTAACAACAGGAAGCAAAGGCTGGAAAAGATAACGCAACCTCAGAAATAGTCCCTTCTCCAGATGAACACAATGTAAATGTTTGTAGGTGTGTTTTTGTCAGCTCCCAGAATTCTGCCTGGGGAATCACTGGAGAATTCTGGGAGTCCAAAACAGCAGACCCCAATCTAGAATCTGACAAAAACAACAACAACAACATAAGGAACTTAGAAGTGTGTTCTCTCTTTTGAGCCATTTGAGTTGGTCCTAATAATAAAAATAGAAATAGCACAAAATAAACTACAAAATCCATCGCAGAGAGCAGTATCTTAAGCACCAAGTATAATTCCATAATATTTTGCTGTATTTTATTTTACTTTGCCACCTAGCCTAATGAAGAATTCTGGAGAACTCAACAGATTGTGCAGTACTGTAGAATTATCTCCCACCCTGGATAGAATCTTGGGGGTCCTTAGTATCTCAACAGGCAACTCCTTTAAGTTTCAACCTGTTCTCATACATTCTATTATACAGGCTTCTAAGTTAGTGTATATGGCATATACACTGATATTTTATTACTATATGTCTAGTAAGCTTTATAAGTCACACACATACACACATATATAGTTTCATCAGCTAAGCTAGAGGTACACAGTACATTAAATAGAAGGATTAGAAGGTAGACAAGATGCTTTTACTTTTCTCTGTTACTCTTCTGAAGTAGCAGAAAAGGGTTTTCAGCTTCTCGGGCTTCCTAGGTGAACGTCCTTCAAACAACCTAAGAAAAATAAAAATTTATTATTATTTTACAATCAAAAACTAAAAGGAAACAAGAAATAGCACAATAACTTAATTTACCTGCAACAAGAACTCAACTACACAGCAAATTTGAGTTAATGTGTTATGGACTGTCCAGTATTACTGTGTTTCTCCAGGAATAAGACAGGGCCTTATATTAAAAATACATTGGGGCTTATTTTCTGGGGATTTTTTTTTCATGTACAACAATCCACATTTATTCAAATACAGTCATGTCATCTTCTGGTTGCTGCACAATGGTGGAGGGCGGAGTTTCACTTAACTGGGGCTTATT